GGATTGACCAAAGGGACAAGAGGGGGACACTCAGGAGAGAGGGGGAGAGAATCCCCGAATCCCCCAACCAAAAGACACTCTCTCTCCCTAATAAAAGAAGGGTTCGTGTGGAGGAGACTGAGAAAGAAGGACCGATGAGGAGCTAGTGTAAAGAAAGAGGGTGGAGATCAAAATAGCAGTATTTTTATATACTTGGTACTGTTGTATACTTTTGGTGTTACGTCTCACTTACTTCACGGGACTGTCTACAAAGCGACCATTTATCATCCCACAAAGCGACCATTTATCTTTGGACGTGGTTAGCATGCGGCCAAGCCCGCACTTGTACAAATACGGGCTTGGCGATAAATATGTTTTTTAAACATAATTGAATCCTAATTTTTGGAGAATATATAATCTTTAGCATACAGATCATGAATATGAAAAAATAAATACATTTTGAGAACTAGAAATAATAATTGTATTAAGAAAAAATTTGAAACGTTAGTTACAATTGTTTTTAGATATACTACTTAGTTGCATTCATCTTCAAGATGGATGCTTCAGTCCGCATGAAACAATTGTTCTTTATCTTTTATACATGGACATCACAATTATTCTTGTCTCTTAAATTTCAAAATGGGTAGTTATAAGAGTGTCAATGAATAGACACAAAATTCTAAAAATATATTCTCGGGCTTCGTGACTCACCCCAAGCTATTTAATTAGACATTTAATGTGATCTTCATATAAAAAAGATAAATGGTATATTCGTGGAAATTCCCCTTATCTATCTTAGATTGAATTCTCATAAACTTTATTTGCTTTTTTAAAAAATATCCAAGGTCCAAAACCTTCTACACAAAATAGATCATACAATAAAATCCATAGGATTATCTATCACCAATTGGGCAACGATGGAGGGGACCAACCTCCTGTTAGATTTCAACCACCGTACTTTTTCTCCATAATGAGTTAAACCATATGACCACGTTTGTAATTATGGTTCCTATGGATCATATTATCTTTCTAGAGAAAATATAAAATATGGTACACCATGTACCTTCGATTTCTAAAAGAGGCGTGAAGAATGGAGCTGCAAATGAACTACGTTGACCAAGAGCAACCTTGACATGATCCTCTTAATTGTGTGTGGCTTGTTTAGGTCCAGGATGGACCTCACTAGGCCCAAATCTGATGGACCTAGGCCTAGGCTGGTCCATGCAGCGTGTCCAAACTAATCTCAGATAAGATTTACATGGTCATCACCATGTCGACCCAAATCCAGCCTTGCCCTCCCAATTTAGGTAGGCCCTGACTCGGAACTCCCATTTCAGGTTGGCTCAGAACTCTGACCTAAACCTAACTCAACAGGCACAACTAGACCTGGAAAAGATCCTGATTAGGTCCAATCGCCAAACCCTGACCTGATCCACCGGGTTCACATGGTGAGTCCAATCTGGAAATCCGATCACATCCCCCAAGCACTATTTGCAGCTACAGCACTAGCTACCCTTTCTTCTGAATGACTTAAAAAAAGAAAACTAACGATCTATTCGGACTACGTAATCTCTGAAGTATGCACCCTTCCCTATATTTTTTGTAGATAGAGAATTGGTACTCCATGTTCAACTATTACACACGTACACACACATCATAGGACAGGAAATGTGTGTTCATGGTACACTATACACCAGAATCATAGATTATAGTTGTTTTATCAATTTGGAAAACGGTTTAACGGGGCAGCAGCCATATCAAAATAAGTAAAGCCTCACCTGATAACTCATCAAAAATTGTAATTCAAGTGTTGAAAAACCTTTCACTCGATCATCTCAGCTTGGACATTATATTTATGAAAAACATATAGGGTTTCAAATTATAGAAATAGTGTATATTGCAACAAATCATCTAGACCATCCATTTTTTTCCGTAAAAATAAATGTCCAAAGATATACAAGATCTGTATTATTTTTTGAGTTTCAAACTTTATTGTCAATGTTAAAAATTGATTTTTGAGTCATCATGAACATTTTCGATGTCCAGTCCCAATAAAGAAAGTTAATAACTAAATAAAAATTGTCTTTAAATCATACGAGGGACTTAAGAACTATAGACCAAGTCATCTGGTGACATGCTACCTTGATAATCCTATTGATGAATCCCCTTCACCTTCCATCCCTATTTTTCTATCCATTTCTCTATCTTTTCTAGAGAACACATTTCATTTTGTGAGAGACATATTTATTTTGTAACTCTTATGTTCATAATCTATAAGAGTTGAGATCCAAGTATAACTCGTGCTTAATTTCCTTTAAGTGAGCTAATTAAGATAGACAAGTTATCACGAAACTGTTAATCTTATGTAAGAAGTTAAACCTGTCATTAGTCAACTAATGACTTAGACATCCGAGCATCCCCAAAATTTGGTAAAAGATAACTAAAAATTAAATAAATTTTGTTTTTTTATATTATAAAAAATAAATTTTTACATACTGGGTTTTCTTTCGATGGCTATTTGATTTTTCTTTGGAGTGATACATTCTATTAAAACTAAAAAATAAATCTATATATAATTGTCTCGTGATGACCCTATGATATTTCATATATACCCTTTTGTACCATTATTAAAAAGTAAATTTCCCATATAAAAAAAAGGTCCACAGTTCGAGGTGACGCTTTATTTTGGTTTTTCGAAGCCCAGATCCTATGGAAAGTTCATCCAATGAATTGTGCTATAGTTTCTCTCTCTTGCCGTAGGACAATAAAGATCGGTATTTTCTCTCTCATAGGAATATACTATAAATGTAGGGGCTTTGGGCTGTTTGAATCATGAGAGAGAGAGAGGCAGTCCTGTGCTTTAGCTTACATAACAAAAACAGATGATGTTGTAACTTGTAAGCATTCTGGTGCGAGAGAAAGGCCTCCTCCAAGAGAGAGGTAGAGTTTGGGAATGGGTCATCGCATGGGTAGAGAGAAGATTTGTAGAGAGAGAGGATGTAGTTGATTAATAAACATGTACCTTGATGAGAGAGAAAGGTTGTCTGCTAGAGAGAATAGAGAAAGTCAGGCATGAAACATGACTCTTTCTCTCTCTACTTTGTAGAGAGAGAGAGTGAGATACGCCGTATGCATATGCGTGGTGAGAAAGAAAGACAAACAATTGAAAGGTGGGTTTTAAATTCATTATTTAAAACGGGCATGCCCACTTGCAAGCCAACTTGCACCCCTATTCAAAACCCACCTCCAACTTGCATCTCTTTTTCTTTTCCATGCAACTTGCACCCTCAAGTGGCCCAAATACGGCTTTATTTAAAGGGAAAAGTTTACGTAGACCCCAGCCTCTAAACAATCACGTTCAAGCTTACCTCAAAAATTTTACTAGATATACTGTTTTGATGTCCAAAAAATCGTCAAATTAATAACCTCGACATCCATCGAGATGCATAGACATGAGAAAAAATTTGATTTCAAATTTTGAAAATAATGTATTTTGTAATACATTTTTTGGCCGTTAATTTTGAAGATTTTCAAGTTTTTATAAATATGTCGATCTACACCATGTTTTAAGTTTTAAACTTTATAAATAAAGATAAAAATATATTTGAACGCAATCACAAAGATTTCGTTGAAACCACATTTCTCGGCACTATTTAAAAGTAGCTCTAATTTGATTGTTTAGAGCTTAGGCTCTACACAAACCGCACCCCTGATTTAAAGTGTAACGAATGGATCGTTTGCACAGACGCAAGGATCGTCGTCGGATTTGAACCATGAGGCAATCTCTGCGCCGTTCAATGCGACCGTGTCACGGAAACGCACGTGCGGTGGTGCTTTTCCATGAAAAGGACGGGAAAATGTCGGTTTTGCCACTTAACCGCCTCGAAATAGTGTACTTTTCCATATGAATTTAGAAATCAGGTTCTGGCGCTGTGACGCTTGCTAGCCTCAACAAATAACTAAATACCCAAACCATGTCTTAATTTTCATTGACAAATGCCAAGTATTACTTATTCTAAACCAATATATTGTTTACCTTATGTCAGTATTGTACATCTTTCAAGCTCTCTTCCTACAAAATCATACCTATTCAAATATTAGTTTATTTTATTGTAAGTTTGTTACCAATTCAGCAGATAGTTGAAGGTTTTAACTCTAAATATAAATTTTTTTGGGATTGGGGCTTAGACCCAAACACCGCAGAAAGGTTGTCATTTGCATTAGGTATCAACTTTAAACGATCAAAATTAGAGCTGGCCTCCAAGTTACAGGGGAAAGCTTTTTATGTTAAAGCTTTCTATGTTCTCCCCACAACATAAAAGTTCTATGTTCCGCTTTATCCAACCGTCTATTTTTTAATTGAGGGTTAAGATTGTCCCAATCACAATGTCATGTCTCTACACTGTTTTATTTTTAAATTTTTTCTATAAACTGTTTTGGCACCAAATTTTAGACGTCCATTCCTATATTAACTAACTCGTAGCAACAAAAAATATAAAAAAAAATATTTTCAATAAAACAAAATGTTCAAAATACTCTTGAAAGTTTGAAGGGGTATTTTAATCATTATTTTTTATCAAAAAATTATTGTTAATATTTTGTATAGATGCACCCCCAATTAAAAGATGGCACGTACCAAATTTTATATTCAAAACAATTGTATTAAAGAAACTAAAAATAAAATACTTTGAGACATTGGATCTAAAGTCAAACAGTAAGTGACTCTCTTGATCAATAATGGACGGATGGAAGTTTGGGGGAAAACCTTTTCATGAGTTTTTGAGGAGCACATTTCCCTACTAAAGATCATAACTCAACTTAAATCACATATCATAGCTAAAATTAGTAATGTTTATCGACAGACGTGTGAGAATTTGAGAGAGAGAGAGAGCTTGAACGAAGTACCGGCCTCAAAATCACAATGGAAATAACAACCTCTAAATCATAATTAAAGTTTGTGGAATGCAAGGTTTACTTTAAAGCAAAAACAAGGGAATGTGAATTTAGCAACCCCCAAATACTAAATAAAATTCAAAATTTACTATTTATAAACAGTACCAGTTGCCAACACATCAAACCATCCATGAAAAACATTTTCAAGGGTATTCCAGTCATCCCCAAATAAGGAAGGATTCAAAAAATTAGGGTATTTCGGTCATTGTAAAAATACCAAAAAAAAAAAAAAAGCACCAGCAATTCGCCGCTTCGCCACCAAGGCCCATCCGCGGCAAAACCACAAATGACAAACCTGAGAGGAATATACAGACAGTTGTGCTAATAAACCCAAAAGACCGGCAATGCCCCTCCTAAATCCTCTAAATCCCCAATCTCAGACGCAACACTGGCAAACACTTGAAAGACAAGGTTCCATCTCACCGGAAAACACCAATTCCCGGGCTTCCACGCCCGGAAACACCGATTCTGGCCACCCCAAAAAGTCCCAAGAAGGGCTACCTCAAAAAAGGGATGACCACCACCACCAGATTCCAGCAAAAGAAGGCAACTGAGAGAGGAGGGGAGGGCGGAATTTTCAGAGGCGGCGGCGTTGTCGATGATTGAGGCTCTCTGCGATCTGAGCAAGGGACTGCAGGTTGCATTTGACGATGGTGTCCACAAACGTCACCGTCTCCTCCTTGGTGTTCCCCGGTGGAACGTCTACGACGTAGGACTCAATTACCAAGGTGCCCTCACCATTGGACCTTGCCACAGGGTGGAGGGTAGTGACGGAGCGATAATTCGCCAGCCTATGATCCCCTCCAATGACCCGGAAGCTGATGATGTGGTGCTCGTCGTCGAGGATCTCCAGGCGCTCGGTGCTGGAGGCCGCAGGAAGGCCGGAGACGACGCGGACCTCGCGGAGGGTGCCGACAGAGGTGCCGTCGCCGGCACGGAGGGAGCAGCTCCGGATGAAGTGCTTGTAAGTCTGAGGCTCGTCGAAGCGTCGGACGACAGACCAGACGGAGGAGACGGGAGCGTCAATGGGCTGAACCACGGTGGAGGTGCATTGGTTGGGGAGGAGAGGGTGGTTGTGGTAGCGGCGCAACAAGTCCGAGAGGTCGGGGGAGGGCTGGGGGATTGGTGGTGTGCAGGGGGGGAGATGGGAAGGGAGGTGGGCCTGCTTGTGGCAGATCATGGCTCTCTCTCTCTCTCTAACTCTTGGTCTTTTTTCTTGCCCTCTTCGCCGATCTTCTCTCTCTCTCTCTCTACCTTGTTCTCGTGTTCGTCGCTGGTTTTTTGAGATGGGACTCAGTTTCTCTCTCTAGGCTCCAAATGCTCTCCTCTCCCTGTCTGTGTCGCTTGTTATTCGAGGTGCTGCTCTGTAGCGATAGAATAGGGGCTAGGGGCTTCACGGTTATATATAGTCCTGTATTGGGGGTGCGGCCTCTTTTGCCTCCCTCTCTCTCCTCTATATCTCAGTTTATTACCCTTTTATTTGTAGGCATTAATTTGGCATCTCGTATTCCCTATCTGTCTCTTTACAAGTTGTTGAGCTCAATTCAGCATTCTCTCTCTCTATATACTTGACGGGTCAATTAAACACCCCTTCTAAAATTTAGTCACGTAATTGCGGTATTTATGTATGGGTGCGGTTTTTATAAGGTTGCAACCTTAAACAATCCAATTAAGGCACACCTTAAAAATTTATCACTAATTTTGTTGTAAAAAATTCTTATTCTTATCTTAAAATCTATTTTCATACCTAATTAAAAAATTTTAAATTTCAAAAATCGTTAAAATTAAGTAGATCTATGAAAATCTTGAAAATGGACGGTCTAGATAATGTGTTGCAAGATGCACTATTTTCGAGACTCAAAAACTTTTTTTTTTTCATATCCATACATCTCGATGTCGAGATGATCACATTTCCAATAGATTTTTGAGGTGCATCCGTGATTCTACATTTTAAGAACCCTATATAAACTTTTTCCTTTAGGTATTCTACTCTCTCTCTATATCTATAATTAATTATAATCCATCTACTTATATAGTAAAAAATAACTAACTACGCTTAAAACGCATATCTCTCTCTCTCTTTTTTTCTCATTTTCATTCTTGGGTTTGGCGTTTAATAGAAGTTGCTTTTAGGAATTTTAGTCTCTATTTAATTCCACTCACAAATTTTTAGAGCTATAATCTTCATAATAATTTATATGTATACTAAGTTAATCTTTTTCTCAAATAATTGAGATAAGGCTTAGAAGATGATGTTGATAATGACTATGTTGTCTGACTGCAATCTCTGGCTTGAAATATGCTTCTCAATTTTGTTTTAAGCTCTCTCTTTGTTTAGTTTCTACCTCTCTTTGGCATTTCAACCTGTCTTTAGATATTCATCTCGCTCTTAAAATGTCAAGCATTCCAATCTCTCTCGTGAAATGCCTGGATCTCTCTTGTTCTAATCTCCCCCTAATTTTCCTCTACAAGCAAACAATTGAAGTCTGGAAAATGGTTTCATACGGCAGCAGCCCAATCAAATCAAAACAAGTATAGCCTCGCCTTATATCTCATTGAAAATGGCAATTCAAGCATGGGAAGACCTCTATGTCGATCATCACCGTTTGAACATTATGGTTGTCACAAAAATTCATGATTTCAAGCTCTAGAAATAGTGTATATTTTAACAAATCGTCTAGACCATCCATTTCACCTTAAAAATAAGTGTTCAAAGATAAATAAGATGCAAGATTTTACTGTCGGTATTGATATGGATCATCTCGGCTTGAACAATATGGTTGTAAAAAAAAAAAAGAAAGATTTCAAGCTCTAAAAATAATGTATATTTTAACAAATTGTCTAGACCATCCATTTCGCCCTAAAAATAGGTGTTCAAAGATAAGTAAGATCTGTATGATTTTTTTAGTATCAAATTTTATTATCGATATTGAAAATTAATTTTAGAGCTATTACATAAAAGTGAAATTTATAAAAATATTAAATTTTAAAAAGCCGACGCCTTTGAAAAACTTCATCCTTTTAAGTCTTTACCTCTTTGAGGACTTAACTCCCTCTTTTTAATGCCTCCCCAATCCCCATCTTTCTCTCTCTCTAACAAACTAATCCGGTGTGCATTCCAATGGGTGGGGGTTAGTCGGTACGTTACTACAAACCAAGTAAAACACGAAAAACATAAGAAAGAGTCACGGGCACATAAAGAAAGGACCGCCCATTTGCAAATGGATCAATATACATTTATTTTTCTCTAAATAAACAAAAGCAAGTAGATGAAAAAATAAATTATGAAATTGGTTTCGGGGGACTCTCTCGCCCACTTGCGAAAGGAGGCGTAAGGTGGATAAGATAAGCATCATGAAGACAAGTGGTAAGGGGAGCTCTTCTTTTGCCATTTTTGTTTCAAATGCATGTGCTTCCAGTTGAATTTTTATATGTTGTTTTTCTCTTTTCTTTTTCTTTTTTCCTTTTTTTTTCCTTTTTTTTTTGTTTGTTTGGTGGGAAACTTGTTTATGTGAATTTTTTAGTGGCTAGTTGCTTAGCATTTCCAAGCTGTTTTGCATTACCAAGGCCCTTCGAATCTTTGATCTTCCTAAAATGCCCCTGGTTTAGTTAATGACTATAATGCCCTTCGCCGCTTTCCTCGTATATAAACGGTCCTTTGAAAAGCCACATTTTCCTCTTGTTTTCTTGTGTTCAAGTTCAGCTTATACATGACACCAGGCAATGGGGTGCGGCTTTACTTGTTTCTCTCTCATCCAGCCATCTAATTTAGATCAAGTTAGCTGATTGTTTCATCTAGATCCGATTTCTCATAATGTCTTTTTTTTTTATTTTTTTTATAAAATATGTGAAAAAATATTTTTTTAAAAAATATAATAACTAAAATACTATTGAAAACTTTCAGAGTCATTTTATTTCATTAAGAATACTTATTTTATATTTTTTTACTGGTACGAGTTTAAGAGAGAAGTAGTCCTCGAAAATTTGGTGTCAAAATGTTTTGTAAAAATAAAATTAAAAATAAAACAGTATAAAGGCGTGACATGTGATTTGGGTTTTTTTTACCGACCATTTAAAATGGATGGTTGGATAGAGAGAAGTACGTAATCTTTATACATTAGGATAAGTATAGATTGCTTCATTAATTCTGCTCCAATAGGACCAACGTCAGACCTGCGCAGGCCGTATGGAGACAAGGGCAGCCTAGGCCCGGACAAGGCCAAGGCCAGCCGTTACCACCATTACATGGGGTTTAATTTGACCATCAACGTTTTCCGTGAGCATAAATTATGGTTACCACCTAACATGGGGTTTAATTAGGACCTTAATTCCTCTTTATCTTTTTCTAGAAAGTTGTTGTTATTGTTTAGATTTTAGTAGCACTGTGTTGTCTTCTTTTGGGGAAGAAACTGATTTTGAGATGATTGAAACTTAAATCTAACGATTTAAAAAGATCGCCTATACTATGTTTCTGCAGAAGCATGGTATACATGTACTCCCTCGATCAAAAGACCCACTTGGGACAAATTTTCAATATAAAATTTTGAGAGCCACCTAACAATCCCCGGATGATTATTATGGAAAAAAATTGAATTTTTTTTAGTTATTCAGTTGTAGGAATCTAACTCATGATTGGCGTTGCTAAACATTAGTTGCCAAGCTCCATTCCTAAAAAGAATTGAATTTTGAGTTTTTTAACACTTAGATCTCACTTTTTAAAAATTGGACAGTCTCTTCTCAATCTTGAGGTCCTAAAACTTTCGGAGGTCCTAAAAATTGGACAGTCCCTCGATTCAAATTATTTTATTATTTTTTTTTTTTACATATTCATACAACTCAATGTCGAGGTGATCAATTAGAGGGTTTTTCAATATTAAAACAACATTCTATAATAGATTTTTTAGATGCATCTATAATTCTACATTTTAAGGTTGCGACCATATATAAACCTTTTTCATTTATAAAATATCGTGTTTGATAACTTGTTTGGAACTTTGGTAGACTATAAAAACCCGTGATTGATAAAGCTGAAAGTTTTGGGGAGCATGTCATAGTCTTTCAAATTTATTTTATTTTATGTATAAATCATATTGAATTAAAACTTTGGTTATCGATACTTCTCTCTCACACACACCTATAAGAAATATATTAAAAATAAATTAGAAAAATAAATATCCGAAATGCCCCTAAAATATTAGGTGCATTTTAGTTATATTGTTTTGGATTGCTTTTTATACTTTTATAGATGTGCTTAGGAGGCAAACTCACCCTCCAATTTTGACCTTTAGTTGATTTTTGTAATAAGTGTAAAAATAGAAAATGGACATTGGGGTGCTTCCCATGTGAAGTGCACCGTTCTCATTCAATGGGAAGCTCACCCTTCCATGGGGAGGCATGGAGGTGCCCACTTCTCATTTTTGAGAAGTGCATGTTCAAAGTGTTTAGCAGTTCTTAGTTATCAAACTAAAAACCGCTATATCACCTAGGAAGTTTTGGCAATGGAAATTCTGATTTCTATTGCTAAAAATTCCGATTATCAAAACATATCTCCGGGGTTTGCGATAGGGTTCGAGTGAAAGAAGCTATTTGATGATAGAGTACTTACATACCTACGTAAACAAAAAAACATTTTTTGAAAAAGTTATGACATCTCAATAGGTTTGTGACAGTTCATTTGCATGGTTAATAACCATCTAACACTCATTAAGTCATAACTGTCCAAGCCCACGACATTCACTAACCACCTCAATCGACTTTGCATCCAATCTAAGAGTAACTGCCTCCTCACTCAATAGGCACTAGCCACCTACCAAATTTGCATCCAATGGTTAAGATTAACCATCTCGCCATCGCATCACACGCGTTTATGTAGACCAATGCGACTCAAAAACCGATTCCGACTTGTTGCATTGCACGCATTAGCATGACTCACAAAAAGATAGTCTGCAGCAAGACTGCACCTGTAGTGCAACAATGTTCAACTCAAGCACCCTTGTCCAGGTTTCACATACTCCACATGAATCTACACTCTCCTCTTCATTCTAAGAAGACAGAAGTGGAAAAGTGTTATTCATATAAATATGGCACTTTTTTCTCTATTCTCCAATATGGAACTAAAAACCCACTGCTACTACTACTGTCTCTATAATAATACACTTCACAAAACTATAATTTAAGACAACATTATTTTAAAATGGATGAGATCTATATAAGGTGGCCACCTTATGACATACAAAAAAGGTGCACCACTAAATTTTGCTGGAAGATATAGTTTTGTTGTCTCTAACCTTAAAAATAGCTTGAAAATCCATGTTTAACCTAAGTTATGAAATTTAAAATTCAAAAGATGGCGCACATCAAATAGATCTATAAATACTTGAAAATCTTGAAAATAGACGGTCTAGATAACTTATTACAAGATGTCCTATTTTTAGGACTTGAATGTTTTTTTCTTTATATCCATAAATCCCGAAGTCGA